AAATTTTATTAAATTTAAATACGTTAAAGAATGTTCGACGATATTAAAATGATGAAAAAACGAGTCGAGCTGAAAGTTCCAAGAGAGGGGGGGATATACTTGTAGTTTTATACTTTGAAAAAAAAAAGAAAACAGAAAGAAAAAAAAAGAAAGACCAAAGAAGAAAATTATCAAGTCTAAGAAGTCTTGGAAAAAAAAAAAATAAAACAAAAAGTTAAATAGATTTTTTTCTTTTTCTTTTTTGTTTTTCTTTTAAATCATTCATCTAAAAGAACATCCGTGATCCTTCATCCTGTCTATTATTATTTTAGAATTGAATTACAAAATTGAAAAAATAATAAATAAATGAAATAGGAAAGAAAGAAGAATCGGCAAGTAGTATGGCGCACGGCGATAATAAAATAATAAAAACGAATTGAGTCGAATGTTTCTAAGGGAATCTTGTCAATTTACACTTTGAAAGAAAAAATAAAGAAAAAATAAATTAAGTCTGTCTCCAAAAGAAAAGACAGAAAAAAAAGAAAAAAAGAAAAAAGGAAAAAAAGAAAAAAAAATAACTAAAAAACATAAAAAAAAAAACTAGCAAAGCTTTCTTTCGACGTACTTTCGACGATAATAAATTAATAATAATAATTAAATAAACAATAATAATAATAATAATAATATTAATGATAATAAAACTTAGAAAAATTTGAAACGTTCGTCGATTGGAACTTACCGATCGAGAGATATCATACATAGATTGAGAATACTGGCGGTGCAACTGAGTACATCGAAGCTAACCCAAAGATCACACATAAGCGCTCCGAATGTCCAATTATGGGATATCTCATATAGCAATGCCATCGGCATTACCAGGAGCGCCACGCAGAGATCACTGACAGCAAGGCTAACCAATAGATAGTTGCACGGTCGTCGTAGCTTCCTAACGAGGAATACCGCGACGCAAACCAGGATGTTTCCAATGACAGTGCCGACGATAATGCCTACCAGCACCAGGGCGATCAGTATAGCCTGTTTAAAGAAAAAACGATCAAATCGAAATCAATTACGTTTAAATAATACATCATTGCATTATTATTAAATGATAATTCTTCGATACAATTTTATTTTATTTTATTTTATTTTATTTTATTTTATTTTATTTTATTTTATTTTATTTTTTCGTATGTCGTATATATTATATATTATTGGATATGTAAATTAAATATGAGCGCGAAAATTTCGGTCACGTGATATACATTTGCATTTTTTTCATGCAAGATGGCGTGCCGATCTCATTTCCTCGATATTTCGTTTTCTTTATCCGACGAATTCTTGAAGAAGACGGACACATTTAAGAAGCATACTATTCGTTCTTATCTTCATAATTTTATTATCGTTTTTAATATTCATTATCTCTATTTATATATTGTATACATCTATTGTTTCTTACATAATAAATCGGTCATTAAACGTAATTTCATTATCGAAAGATTTTTCTAAGAGGTTATGAGTTCAGATCGCATCAATCGGGTAAATAGCTTTTTGAAAATTTTAAAGAGACACTATATTGGAGAAGATGCATAAACGATCGCAACTTCTATATGGATTATGTTTTCCACTTTTTGATGGAGATTCTATTTCATGAGAATCAAGGAAGCAACGGGTACGATTGCGCTTTATCAACTAAAGAGATTAAATAATAGTACAGACGTTGCTAAGGCAACTTTGTAATTTAAATGATATTTTTTCTTAATTGGAATTACGTGTCAAATTCGACGTTATTATTTATAATGACGATAATCCAAGTGCATTGAAATTGTCAAGGAATTTCGTATTCCATGCGTGAAACAAGCATATTAGCGATAAGCCATCATTTCATAAGGGAGGTTCTAAGCGATGAGAAAACTGAAGTTATAATATTTGTACATGAATTGATATGATTGCCGAGACGTTTTAATCAAGGCATTAAATTATCCGAAACATATCAAATGCGTTAAAGGTTTTAGATTTAGATAATTAAGTTCTTTTGGCGCTTAATTTAAGGAGAAGGTATTTAATATGTAAACTGTTAAATATGAGCACGAAAATTTCGATAAATGTAATATATCCAATTATATTTTTCCCGTGTCAATCTCATTTTTTCGATATTTTCTTCTCTTTTGAATTCTCACGAATTCTCAAAAAATCGTACACGTTTATAGAGTACATTATTCTATTCGTAAAAAAAAAGATTTTTATTTTATTTTTGTTTATAAATTAATTAAATTTTATTAAAATTATATAATTTAATATTAAATAGGATAAAAATTAAATAATGTTTAGATATTATTAAAATTAATGAAAATTAGAATAAGATAAAAATGATAATAAATAGAAAAATTTAGTGTCGGCATCAGTTATTAAATTAAATATTATATAAATTAATTAATGTTTTATGTTGAATTATTTTTTAAAATATAAATAATAATTTATAATTTGATGAAATATAATAAATTATAATTAAAATTTTTAAAATTTTCAATGTCAAAAAATTTTTGAATTAAATTAGAATTAGATATACTATTATAATATATAAAAATATATAAAAAAAAAATTAAATGATAAAACATATTAAATTTATAAGTTTTGACGGTATTTAAAATTTATAAAAATCTGTATAGTAATTGATGATTTCCACGATAAGATTTACTTAATATAAAATTTATATATATTTCTGTTTTCAGTATTTAATTAAATTAGATAGAAATATAATGTATCATTTAAATAAAAGAAAAAAATTCCAATTAAAATATAGTTTTATTAAGATTAATATGGATTACAATTAATTTAATTATTTAGATTAAAAAATTTAATTATTTCATGAAAATGAATTTAAAAGTAAATTTAATAAATTTAATAAAGAATAATATAATATAATTTTTCAACCCGATAATAATATAATATAACGAGAAATCGTTCTTATCCCAATCAATGTACACAGTCTATAATAAGTATAATCTATACGAAGAAGATATATATATATATATATATATATATATATGTGTTTATTAAAATATTTGATATACATAAGCAATAATATAATGAATAATCGTTAAAATCATAATATTTTAAATATTCCGACTACATATTAATCGATATACATACATACATACATATATATGTACGTATCTATGTACACTGAAGACATTTATTACTACGTATTTATCAATATTTCTATAGAAATATATACATATTATCGAGTCTTTTTATAAACATAATATTTTATATCTGCCAATTTTATCTTTACACTTAATATGAAATATTTAACGTTAAAATAATAATACTTTGAATAAAATAACTTAGAGAATAACAAAATGAACGAATGAATTATTAAAATCTTTTATATGGAGCTCAGGTATTCCGATGTAAATTAGATTTACTCCATCTCTCACCTTCTCTCTCTCTCTCTCTCTCTCACTCTCTCTCTCTCTATCTATCTATCTAGTTCTCAGTCTACAGCTGTGTTATCTTTGATGCGTCACGCTTGAAGTTATACAAAGGACTAAGCAAGTCTCCCGTAGGTGACACGGTGATATTACTTTGTCCCTTCTCAACGTTTACGAACACGTTTGTTTATATTTTAAGTTGAATTACGTGATGTGACCTTTTATATATTATATCTTATCTTAGATACGTAGTAAGTTATCGTTAGTCGACGGATCTCGTCTTTCGTCGTTGTCATCGTTGTCATCGTCATCGTAAGTAATATCACAAGAAATATATCAAGAAAACGAATATAATTTATATTCGCGAGCGAATATAAGTCTTAAGTTAAATTATTTCAATCGATTTCTCAGCTGTAACATCCCTCGTCTCTCTCCCTCCTTTCCCTCAACCATCATAGCCAAGCTCTTCATCTAATTCCATCTCCCTTCATCTCTCTACGTCCACCACACGTTCCTCTTCCCTCCCTTTTCACCTTCGTACTCTCTCTTTCACGTTCATACATATTCCCAATTACGTTTACGCGCCATATTCTCACGATCGATCCGTTCAACCGTAAAATACATCAGGCACCTACGAGATGTATGTATATATCTAGATATATACGTACATATAAGTACATAAGTACATAGGCATGTATGTATGTATTTATGTATTCTAGTTGGTTTCCTAAACAATGCTAAAATTTCTCTATCGTTTCTAGACTTGGCTCAGCTCGTTACATGGCTTTGGTATTCCAGATCGCAAAAACGTGTATTTTTCTATAGACATTGAAATTAATGAGAATGTCTTTCGCCCTATACGTAAGCGTATATAAATATATATATATATATACATATATATGTATGTGTGCATGTATTTATATATGTATGTATGTATGTATGTATACATGTATATATATATATATATATATATATATATATATATGTTTGTATGTACGAATGTATGCATATACCTATATATGTATGTAGGTTCTGTATCATCGATCTTTGGTTAATGAAAAAGAAAAGTAAAAAAAGAGACAGAGAGAGAGAGAGAGAGAGAGAGAGAGAGAGAGAGAGAGAGAGAGAGAGAATGAGAGGAAAAAAAGAAAAAAGGAAAAACGTGGCAACGATTTTAACGTTCGACGTGTATCGTTACTTCCTGACGAATGCATCGAGATAATTAAATGAAAAAAGGAAAAAGAAGGAAAAGAAAAAGAGAAATAGCAAAAAAAAATATTTGTCATTCTTTTAAAAAGAGGATTCTATTATAAATAAATAAATAAATAAATAAATAAATAAATAAATAAATAAATAAATAAATAAATAAATAAATAAATAAATAAATAAATAAATAAATAAATAAATAAATAAATAAATAAATAAATAAATAAATAAATAAATAAATAAATAAATAAATAAATAAATAAATAAATAAATAAATAAATAAATATATATATAAATAAATTTTTCTTTCGTCTTGAGAGATAAAACGAATAAGGATAAAAAAAAAAAGAAAAAAAAAAATAAGAAAAAAAAAATTTCAGTTTTCTAACCTCATATATAATGGACCGACACTCGACCCTATTGCCTCTTCTCTTCTCTCTCTCTCTCTCTCTCTCTCTCTCACTATGTCTCTCTTCCTTTCTCTCTATCATTCTTTGAAGAGATTCGAGAAGAGAGACATGCCTTTGAGAGGGAATTACCCTCATGCGAGGAGTGTTCGCCCTACGTTTCAGTAAACAACACCCTAGAAAATTGTGATTTATCAAGCACGATACTCTTTGATCGAAAATTTTTAATCTCTTCTACGTATCTTTTATCTCTTTCGACAAATAAAAGAAAGAGAAAAAGAAAAAAGAAAGGAAGAAAATAAAAGAAAGATTCTCTTGAGAAATTCGATTGACATACAGAGAGACAGACAGAGAGACAGACAGAGAGACAGAAAGAGAGGACAGAGACAGAAAGAGAGAGAGAAAGAGAGAAGCACAGTTATTGAATTCTCTCTCTCTCTCTCTCTCTCTCTCTCTCTATTTCTATCTATCTTTCTCTCTCCTGCTCTCCCTTGCTCTCTTTAATCGTACGAATTCGAACGTTCAATTAATGAACTTTGGTCCTGAGACAGGTATAAAGAGAGATAGAGACAGAGAGATAGTGAGATAAAGACAGAGATAGATAGATAGATAGATAGATAGATACATAGAGAGAGAGAGAGAGAGAGAGTAAGAGTGAGAGAGAGAGAGAGAGAGAGATTAAGTCTTCGTCGACACGCATCGAAGGTTGGCGTTAGATTCGATGAAGTTTAAACACAGAGGAGCAATCCATTAATCAAACAGGTAGTAGTTCGTCTACTCGTACGTCCTGATGCTCCTGCTTCCTGTATTTGAGTAGAATGGGAGGATCTATTAATTTATTACTATCTCCTATCCTCTAACTCTCTATGGGTGTACGGTTTATGGAAACCCCTGGTCTCTTTTATCTATCGTATTTCTCATTGGCCTGACGAGTTGAAACGAGCGTATACGAGCGAATAGAACACACAACTATAATGGTGGATCGTATGACGGTGACAACTAATGGACCGTGAACTCGAACGAGAAACTATATAGTATGCAAGAGTACTTTTTTAACTTTTTTTTTTCACCCCTTTTCTACTTTCGCGTCAAAATCCTCCTCCTCCTCCTCCTCCTCCTCTCTCTCTCTCTCTCTCTCTCTCTCTCTCTCTCCCCTCCCTCATTCACGCCCCGATCCAATCTTGAATCGAGATATTTCGATTGTTAAATACTAGTCGATACGAATTGTTCAATCTTTTGAAATGATTTTTTTTATACAATGATTTTCATTAATTAATTAATTAATTTATTTATTTATTATTATTATTATTATTATTATTATTATTATTATTATTATTATTATTGTGATATAAAAATTGTTTAAATAATTTCGTTTGAAAAATTACAAAAAATTTGTGAATAGCTTTTCAAAGATAAATTTGATAGGAAATCTTTTATATTATACGTATATATTTATATATATATATATATATATATATATATATATATATATATATGTATGTACGTTCTAATACATTCCAGTTTGATTAGAATAATTAATATAAAATTTTTTTTTTTTGCGAAAATAGAAATAACTTATTTATTAACAGTGTTGTTTACAGGGTGATTTCGAAAAAGAGGAAAAAAAAAGAAGACATAAATAATAAAAAATAAAAAAGAAATTATATTTTTTTACAAGAGCACTTAAGACTTACGAGTTAGACTGTAAAATTGTTTTGTAATGAGAGATTGAGAAAAAGAAAAGGAAAAAGTACAAATTAAACTAAATAAATAAATAAATAAATAAATAAATAAATAAATAAATAAATAAATAAATAAATAAATAATTAGCCGAAACAAAAAATCACGAGCAAGAGAGTAAATATCGATTTGTTTATTTTCTTCTTTTTATTTTTGTTTCTCTTTTCTTCTTCTTCTTCTTCTTTTTTTTTTTCTTTTTTCTTTTCTTTAAGTCGTCTAAAAATTTCCGGCTCATCCTAACACAAAACTTTAAATCGTTCGGCCAGAGTCTTCTCTCTGGTTTGATTTAAGGTTGAAAGGCTACAAAAAAAGGAAAAAGAGAAAAAAAAAAGAAAGAAAAAAAGGAGAAAGAAAAAAGAAGAAAAAAAGAAAGAAAGAAAAAAATAAGAGGTCCGAGAGGAGAAGAGGAAAAAGGATCCATTAAATTTATCTCTCAAAGAACGACGATTGAATATACCTGAAGAGGCGTGTAAAGCGAATGCTTTCCGGGAAATCTTGGTAGTAACTCGTCGATGTCGTTGGTAGCGACGGTCGTCAGATTGAAAAATAGGGTGTCCTCCGTGGTGGTCTCGTCTTTCCCCTCCATACGACCCTAGCCGGAAGTCAGGAGCATCCCAAACGCCCCCCTCGCCAATTACTACGTCATGCTCCTTCTCTCCTTTCGACCGTGGCCCTCCACGGTTGCTCCGAACGCGCATGGGAATTTCTACCTTCTAACTTTTTGACCTTTGACGATC